AAACCCAATAACAATTAATGGGTTAAAATGTTGTGATATGTGAGGTCTCGTTATGTACATATCACGAATTCAATAGCAAACATAAACCTACACAGCAGATCTAAAAGTTTGATGCAGAAAACTTACGACTTAAAATTTATTGCGATCTGGCCGATCTTCAATTGGATTGATTCACCGGGGGTTATCGGTGATGAATCAAGAGTGTTTCAATGGAGGAAGTGAAAAAGAGTAAATCATAGACCTCCCCCGTAGTCTGGGATGAACACACAAACGGATCGAGCGGAAGCCGGGTCGGGTCCTCGTGATCGGTCGCATGGGATGGAGTCGCCGGGCTGGCGCAAGCACACCGACAGATTGCGATTGGTGGCGGGGTTCGTCGGGCTCGATCGCGTGTCGGTGGTCGCGGCGGGTTCCAGCTGGTGTCGCAGCGGTGGTCGGCGAGTCGGGCTCGTCGCGGCTTCTGGATCTGGTTGATCTCCAGGGTTGATGAATATATGCATCTCAATTACCTCGCGATCTTCTACTGTATTACTCTTACACCTCTTCAACTTGTATCAGTGGAGCAACAAGAAGAAGATAAAGCCCAAACAGAAATCTAGAGAGAGAGAGAGAGAGGGGTGCGTGTTTCAATCCACACGTAGGAGAATTATGATCTCTTCATCTCTTTTCCATGAGCCTAATGGTGTAAATATAGAGCTACAGTAGGGACCCTTAGGAGATTAGGAATAGGGCCCCTTAATTAATTAAAATAATTGTAGGCCAAACCTACTATTCTAATTAATTAAATAATATTATGGGCCACTAACATAATATTATTACCCTCAATTTTTCTAGCTCAATTTATAATTGAGACTCCAATAATAATTATTCGAATTATCTCCACATGTTTAAGATATAATGTTCATCAATTAATTCGATTACTGATAATCAAGAATTAATTAATTTATTATATTTCACCGAAGCTAGACCTCGTTCATCACATTCTTACTATGCCGGAATTTAATCCACATGCAAGGTTTAGCATAATAATTCTTCATTAACTCATTCCGGAGACATCATCAAACTAAACGCACATGGTGACTGTAGATATCCTAACAACACATCATACATGCAACAATATTACTCAAAACAGTGGGACTATTGATCCAGTTCACTAAACCTCACCCATGTGAATCAAAATAATATATACTGCATATATATGTCAATTTAATATCTTACTACATAAATGTACTAGTGCAACTAATCAGTCAAGACAAACTGTACCGTTGACACTACAACCGTTCGGATAGCGTGTTCATGTCCATCTAGGTTTTGAACCATAATTCTTGTTTCGCAAGTAACTGATAGAATGATCTTCGATTCGCCCGATGACGATCCACACTATCTAGTTGCAAAACAACAGAACGTAGAACTTGTTTAATTTAACATGTTTCGCATTCATAAAGGGTAAAAGTGTAATATCATTTAAAGTCAAACTTTCATTATATAACACTAACATAAAATACATTATGTACAACAAGAAGGAAAAATTACCCTCCAAAATATATATATTTTACTATTAGAGAATAATGCTACGCTACTTTTCTGGACACTAACATAAAATACATTATGTACAACAAGAAGGAAAAATTACCCTCCAAACTATATATATTTTACTACTGGACACTAACATAAAATACATTATGTACATCAAGAAGGAAAAATTACCCTCCAAACTATATATATTTTACTATTTGAGAATAATGCTACGCTACTTTTTTGAGTACATTTCTTCACGGCATTGTTACTTTCATCATCAATTTTTAATTATAATTGTCATATTTGAATATACAGTCTTACCAAGTCAAAATATTTTTTAAATATGGTAAAATACTAGAATTACGTTAGGGAGATATTTTGTTCCGAAACTCTTTCCACCCCAACTCCTAATTTCTCTTCACAGACACGGTCAGAGTGACATATCCCTTTTGCTTTCCTTTTTAAATACCTCTTCCCCATCGGTGCTTTTCATCTCTCTCTCTCTCTCTCTCTCTCTCTCTCTCTCTCTCTCTCTTATTATTAAAACCCCCAATTCGACGGTGACAGTCGAGATAGGCGGAGCTCTCGTGGCTGGCGGTGACGGTGCGACGAGCGAAATCAATCTCGGAACTGGCTCGTGAGCAGAGCAGATGGTCATATGGTGAATCTTCTGCAAAGGGACTAACTGGCCCCTTACAAGGTTCGATGAACGGGCTACTGATCGAATTTGCGACGACTAGGCCTGAGGAGTGTGGGTCACCGACGAAGATCGACTAGCAATGCCGTTAATAAGTTTGAACAAAGGCTGATGAAGGGCGGCGAAAGGTTCTTCGGTCAGAACTCCATCCTGAGTCCTGACGTATTGCAAACCACCAGAGCTCAAAGACGAAGGTCGTTTGAGGCGTAGGCGTTCAACCCGGTTCATAACAAAAAGTAACGAAGCAATTGGCGTCTTATGTGAGAAGAGTCAGTCTTTTACCGACTATAAGGGACTAGCGTTTTTTCCCACAAGTTTCACCAGGATCACAGTCATGCCTAGTGATAACCATGGTTCTAAAAACTGAACCGGTCATCGAACCGGTGAAGCTATCAGTTCAATAGTTCACTGGTCGGACCAGGGTTGAACCGGTCAAATCGATTTAATATTATATATAATCATTTATTTATTTTATATATAGTATATAATTGTGTATATTTATATCACGAATTTTATTGTGTAATGAAATTTCTCTAAAAGAATTTATAATAGATACAACTCACAATGCTGCATAATGTTGATAATTTATTTTATTTTATTTTTTATATTTTAGTCTATATTTAAATTACAAAACAAAGAGAATAGATTCCAAGTTTGTATTTTAATTTTTAAATCAAATTTTATGTTTTATTATTCTTTTCAATTTTTCACTTCTTCTCTAAAGAAAATCATATTTGCATAATATATGTTGCAACTGAATCTACCCAATACAACACAACAATGTTGGCACAAGTCTGGGCTAAATAATTCCACATGTCACGCCTAATTAAGGCAATAGTAACATGTCATTGGGCTAAATTAAACAATTAACAATGTTACCTATTCAATCTAAGATTTAAGGTGGGCCTCGGTCCATTTCAACTATAACACAAAGAGTCCATTTCAGCTTGGCACACGTCTTCATGGCCCACACTAACACAAGGAGCACATGTCCCGCATCGAAAACAGAAATAGAATTAGTCCGTCATTTAAACTACCGCTTTGGCACATGTATTACAAAGAGGCAGTTGCTTTGCCTTGCGAGCGGTTCCAGGTTGTGAACCAACTTAAATGGTTTTTGAACGGCTCTGGACCCCAGCAGTTATACACCTCAACCCGGACCATTGTGCTGACTGGTTCCCGACCAAACCGGTTGAACCGGCCAGTTCGGTTTTCTAAACCTTGGTGATAACCATAAGAAGAACCTCAATAAAGACTTGGAGGTTGTGTGGCCAAAGAGGCCGTTCGGATCTGGCCCACCCCCGGGCTGGTCGCAATCCTCTAACAAACTCATTACGCCCCAAGACATATTGACTTCCCCTGCGTTAGCTTTAACTCCATTGTCAGATGGGCCGGAAGGATCCACGGGTGAGAAAGAAGCGCTTGTGGACCAGAAAAAAAAGGAAGACCAGAAAATAGTGGTTCGTGCAGTGGCGGAGGACGAGCAGCAGCAAATGAGCTATTAACGGACCTGAAGAGTAGGTCAAGAAGCAACGACTTGTTATCACTAAGCAAGAGGACACCCGAAAGGAGGTCTTTAAGCTCACCCGTGAGGAGTTAAGCAAGATCATAGCAGAGGCGTTGGCTCGAGGTCAGGAGCCTACGCAACCATACAACGTGACATCCATAGATTGAGGGACTCACTAATGATCGGGCTACACAGTTGGATCCCTTTAGAAACTGGCTTTCGATACGTCTATTTTTCATGAAAATACAACGGTGGGATCGTTTGGAGAACTCGGTCAAACTTTAAGGCATATTTTAACCTTTAACGGCGAATTTTCCGAATATCAAGGTATCGTAAATAAATAAAGTTTTTGATAAGTCGAGTGGAGAGTTTCAAAATGGTATATTATCTGTTGAAATCTGCCACCATAGGAGCCGTGGCGGTTGGCGAAAGACAACGACTATTAATTTTACCATTTTCTTTAATGTTTAGATCTAAAACCATTAATTTTGAAGATTTTAGTGAGCAAAACCGATTAAGTTAGAAAATCTAATACCCAAAGCGAAAAAGTGGTATATTGTGGATACTGAACACTTAGAGGGGTGTATTTAATTTGGATTTCTAAAGATTTTTTAAGATTTTCAAAAATCGTGGTGTATTTAATTTAAAAATTTCAAGATTTTTAAAAGTCTTGTTATTCATTAGGAATTGTAAAAAATCTTACAAGATTTAGAGGTATTTAACTTATTTGAGACTAGAATTTTTTAAAAAACTTTTAAGATTTACTGAGATTTCTAAAGACAAAACTTAGACAAAATCAAACTCCAAATCATACTTCTAGACTTATAATTTATAGATTCCTTTAAAATCTTAAAATCTTAAAAAACTCAAATCTAAAAAAATCCTCGAAATCTCAAACGAACACACTCTCTTTTTTTTTTCTCGTAAATAAATATTTATAAAAATTTTGTCCCCTTGTGGCCAAGAAAATATTCAGTCCTCTCTCCCTGAAAACCTCGCCACTACCCTAGAGACAAATGTCCATTTCTACATAAATTTCCTCCTCTATGCAGCCTACTCAACAAACACAAAACCTCTCTCCTCCTCTCTAAAAAAAAATACAGTCTTTCTATCACTCATTCATCATCAAACTCTTTTTGCTTCGATCTTGGGCCTCACAGATATTGCAGACTACATTATGTCAACATGCACAAGAAAAGGGCTGAATTAGAAAGCCCTTTTATGGGTTTTTGATAACTTCCATTACCAGCGAAAGCACATTCTTTTGTCTTCCTGAAAATGGTAGAAACAAACATCTTTGACTGTGGCTCAACTGACTTGCTCTGTGATAACGATGATCCTGTCGAAACTTCCGATGACCGGAGCCGTTTAACCGACGGCGATAAGGGCGGGGACGGATCAGAATCTGGGTCGTGGCCGAGTTTAGATTACATTGGGTGGATGGTTGAGCGAGACAGTGCACACATGCCCAGAGATGATTATCTCAAGAGATTGAGGACCGGGGATTTGGATATGGGTTTGAGGAGACAGGCTCTTGATTGGATGATTAAGGTTAAATTATTTTGATTAATTGTAATATTACTGTGATTCCCTTGTTCTGTTTTTGGATTAATCTTAATGGAGTCTTCATTATCTTCTTGTCCCGGATCAAATTGAGTTTTTCAGTTAGTTTTTACTACACAGAATGGAGTCTAACATTTTTCCTCAGTTCTTGTTGGAATATTACTTGTGAGTTGTCCGACATTGATTTAATAGGGTAAATGAGCCTAGTTTATAAGCTTAGCGGGATACTCCTCCCATTACCAATTGGTTTCGGGATGGAACTTCACTAAGGTGCATCTACGCTTACCTTCTTTTGGTGCGCTTCATCTGGTGGGACCGCACCCTCTCCCCCGGTTCTAATATGGTATCAGAGCGGGCTGGTGAGACCGCACCCTCTCCCCCGGTTCTAATAGTTCTGATTGCATTATTTTTGAAACTTAGATTTTTGTTTTGCATTGTTTTAGTAACTTTTAATTTGCTAATCCTGTTTTGTGTGATTTCCTCAAATGGGAGTTTGTTTCCTTATTTCATATCTGGTCATTGATGATTTCCCATGTATGTAATCATGGGTTGTAGTAGATTCAGTGTTCGAAAATCAGGCGATTTTATGTAGCTATAGCCATTTCATTAATGGCTTCTTGGGATCTTTGATTGAAATGCATTTTCATCTGCAAGAAATCAGTCTACCCTATGATTATTTTGCCAATCCTTTCTGTAATTTGGATACGATCCTTGATTTACGGTATTTATTTCTGTGCAGGCTTGTGCCCATCACAGTTTTGGGGAGTTGTGTTTGTATCTGGCTGCAAGTTACTTGGATCGGTTTCTATCGGTGTATAACATGCCCGTATGTTCACTTGATAAGTTTAAAACCCACACAATTGATTATTTCAATTAGCATTTGTTATTTTCTTGTTTATGCATTTCCGCATTTATCTTTCAATCTTTGCCTAAATTCATAATTTATCGACAATTCAATAGGGAGGTAGAACTTGGGTTCTTCAGTTAGCAGCAGTAGCTTGCTTGTCATTAGCTGCAAAATTCGATGAGGTTAACGTGCCTAATTCCTTGGATTTACAGGTAAAATTTGCACAACATTGTTACTTCGTATTGGGTTCACGGTGAACTAAACAAAGTACCCCTAGTTAATAAATTCTTCAGCTATAACTAAAAATGCCCTCTACATTTGAATACAAACTTGAGGAGTTGATTTTGATACCGTAAGCCAAGTTTTGTAATTTTGGAAGATAATCTGATTTGTGGCGATTAAGTTGGATGTCAACGGTATTTTACGTCATTATTCCTCAAATTTATGTTAATGAGCTATTTACTTTTGTAATGTGAGGGCAGGCAGGAGAACCAAAGTTTTTGTTTGAAGCAAAAACTATACAAAGAATGGAACTTTTGGTACTCAACTACTTGAAGTGGAACATTAAACCTTACACGCCATTTGACTTCATCGACTATTTTCTAAGAAAGACGAGTGGCGATGTTGAAGCCCCATCAGGGCCGTTGATCACAAGATCGATTCAAATCATATTGAGCACAGTCAAAGGTGTCAATTTTACTACATAGCATGCTATCATATATGTGAAATTTCAAGGATTTTGTACACGGTCAGTCCAAAACAGGATGAGGTTTTGAGTTCAGAGTATTGGTTGGAAAACTTGAATGCAGGTATTGATTTCTTGAACTTCAAGCCTTCCGAAATAGCTGCAGCAGTGGCTGTTTATGTTTCAGGCGAAAAACGAGTGATAGACATTGATAAGGCTCTGTCTGGTTTTCTCATAATAGAGAAGGTACTAGAACATGTATATATATACACTTTTTTTTTTCATTTAATTTTTTTTTTTATTTGATCCCCACAATATATAATGATAAGACAAGACAACTTCTTGCCATTGCTTTGTATATCATAAATATCATCTTTATGTTTCTTAGCAACTCCTTCCTGTTTCTTTTGCTACGTGAGTTTTTCGTTAAATATTTCGGTTGAGGTTTTATTATTCGCCTCCTCAATGTATCTTTAGATCAATGTAAATTGTTTTCTTTAAAAATGACAATTCTTTTTTGCCAAATTTATTTCGAGGGGTTTATTTGCAGGACAGAGTCTTGAAGTGCCTAGAACTAATTCAAGATTTGATACCAATAAGTGGGACTACCTATTCTTCTTCTAGTAAAACCGCTAAAGCTACAAATGTGGCTAATGGTTCGACTGAATCGCTATCCGTTTGCGACAGTCCAAACGGGGTCTTAGATGCCGCTTGTTTGAGCTATAAAAGTGATGAAAGAAAAAGAGTTGGTTCCGGTCCAACTCTTTCAGAGGCTAGTCCAGACAAGAAAAGGAGGAAAATGGACGGGAAAACGGATTTTGGGGTGATTCTTGAAAATAAAGACAAATGTTAAAGTAACTTTCTTTTTTTTTTGAACTCCCTTGAGAAGTTCAAAATTGGTTTTCGATCGTACGTGCATGTCCTTGAACAAGAATGGGATGGATGTTCAAAGAGGAACAGAGTCAGCAGGAGATCCCGTAGAAAGAGTTGCTACTGTTTATGAATAATTATAGTTGTTAAATAGTGTAGCGACTTATGGCTTAGAGATGACAAGAAGCCCCATAATTGAAAAATGGGGCTGTTGCTTGTGGTGAAAAAAAAAAAACAGAGAAGGTTCGGTTTTATATAGCTCTTTCAGATGAACAATCGAGGAGAGAGAATTAAAGATGAAAAAGAAAAAAATCAAATATTTATTTATTTTTTTTAATAATATTTGTTAATTTATTGTATTTTCCCGCCTTGTTAACCGAATGAAAGAATTGTATTTTAAGTTTCTCATTTTCACCATCTAAAATTGGAAGTGGAATTGTGAATTTTTCGAAAATGTTTTGTTTGGTAATGATTACATGTCATGCTCTTTTTGGGTATCTTAAATGAAGGACCCACAACATCTCTTGTTGTTTTGACTTTTTGTGTGTGTTAATTTAGAGCCCACGGCATTGGTTCTCTTAATAAAATATCTAATGCTACATAAAAAATAGACTCTTTTAATATCTTATTTCACATAGGAAATAGACTCAGTCTATTAAAAAGTGTCTCCCAACGCAATTAAAGGTGACCATGGTATAGCTTGTGTGACAATAAAAAAAAAAAAGACCAAGTCCACATTTGAGTATATTTAGGACTCAAGTACAAACCCAACACTCATAATTTATTTCTCATTTAAATTTTTTACATAAATGAAACATATTATAGCATTTTTATTGGTTGACATGTATTCTAGACCTAATATTTTATTTTTACATTGAATAACTTTTGAGTATTTTTACTTGGGTTTGTCTATGTCATTTACGACTTAAGTTTATTTATATGCCACATATGTAAAATTAGACCTAATGCATTGTAGATGATCTTATGTGCCTTACCAGTCCAATATGCTGTTTTTGCATGGAAGTAGTAAATAACGTTTACCAATAAAAGTGGCACAAAAGACAGAATAAAAAAATATAGAGAATTAAGACTTTACGTCGTAAATTCAAGTTAAATCCCTACACCCTTTTTCATCTTCTTTGTCGGTCCATAGTGTATTTCATTTTCCTCTACACTACCCAATGCATATTTATCTTTCCTCTCACCTCCCCGTATAAATACTAAATACAATTATTATTCATTTTTTTTTTTAAATTAAATCATAAAAAATGGATAAATCTCTTTCAATTCCCTTTTCTCTCTCTCAATCGCTCCCTCAATTCTCGTCTCTCCCTCTCTGTGAAATTGGCCAAGATTGGCCAAGATGAAGAGCTTGTACAGGGACTCGAAGAAGGGATCTGTCTCGGGAGGTGGTTTCGATTTTTCGGTGGTGTGATTTCTGGAATTTCGGGTGCAGGAGAATCAGATCAAGCTTAGGGTTCTGGAGACGATGGTGAACTCGTTGCAGTCGCAAATGGACGCCAAGGACGACGAGTCGAGTGGCTTGAGGAATATATTGAATAAATTTAGGTTTGCAATGTCGATTTATCCCGAAATTGGGGGTGAAAAGGGGAAATGCCGGTTTTGATGTTCTGCTCATGATTCGAGTGTTTGAGGCCATGCTTGCTGACTCCGTGAAATCAGTACGGTGTTTTGTGAAGCTATTGATGAACCTGATGCAGAGGGCTGGCAGGGATTTGGACGGAGGCTGAAATTTCTCCGGTGGACTATCCTACGTCGGAGTACGAGTAGGAAGGCATTGCACTCAGCGGTCCGGAGGTGGAGCAGGGGAAAGGATCGGAGCTCGACTCGTCCAAGCGTGCGGATGCGAAAGAAATAATTGTTCCGTTGTGAGAGAAGCGACGAGCAATAAAGAGAACTGAGTTCGTGATTGGTAAGTCCACGAACAACTGAGGCTCGGCTGAAAATTCTCCAGCGAGGGTGAGGCCGACTGTTTCTGGGAGATTCGGTCACCGGAGAAATGTGAAAGCCAGTCCTGAAGGTAAATTAACCTTTTTTATCTTGCTTGATTAGATTTTAGTTGATTAGCATAATGTTTATCCGTTGGGGAAAATAATTTAATAAATAATGGCGTAAATTTGACCGTTGGAACTTTACTCCCATAGATGAGCGTATCCGTATGCATTTTTATCATATGTTTGTGTGAGAATGTTTCACGATTTCGACAAGATTGATTTCGGTTTATGCAATGATAATTGTGATGTTGTTGATGAACAAAATGGTTATATGAGGCAATTAATCGAACATGTCACGATCAGTCCCATGGAGATTCTGAGCATGAACAAGAAATGCGGGTTCTCTAGATTTTGCGAGAGGAAGTATGTAGACCTTGTTCACCCGACAATGGAGTGCTCGATTTTCAGACATCTGGACAGGAAGGAGAAGAAGATGCTCGATTCTTGGAAACCTTTGTCTGTTTTTCACGAGTTGTTTGTTATGATGGCGAGCTCGATTTGGCTTCTTCATAAGCTGGCCTACACATTTAATCCCATGATTGAAATTTTCCAGGTCGAGAGGGGATTTGAATTCTCGATGGTGTACATGGAGAATGTTTTGGGGAAAAAAGGTGTTTTTGTGGGAAAGAGTAAGCCGACAGTTGGATTTACGGTTGTGCCGGGATTCAAAGTCAGCAAGACAGTTGTTCAATCTCAGGTTTATCTCACTAATTCAAGATAATTTGAAAACATGCTGATTAAGTGAGCTTTTATGTGCAGAAAATGAAGAAGAAAGCTGTCAATCCCACTTTTTCCCCTGACATTTTCTAATACAAACTCCATGAGTTCACCTCAAAAGGAGACCTTTTTGACACCATCAAGGGGAGGTTTCTACTGCAAAAAATCCGATTGAAAATCAAACAATTTTTGTCAATTGTGAATATTTTGTTTTTTTTTTTTTTCTTATTTGCGGAATCTGTGTACCTGCAATTTAGGGGTGTTTTATTTGTTTGTTTGTTGGGAGGTACTATGGATTGGGAATGGGTGGCGGAGTTTCTGAAGGGGATGGTGAAGCCGACGGCGGCGCTGGCGGTGGTGGCGCTTGCGGTGGTGCTGTCGTGGTTGCAGTGGCTGTGATTGGAGGGGGAAATGGTCTACTCTGTTGTAAATATTAAGTTGTGGACATTACCTAGATATAGGATTTGTAGGCATGGGCCAGGAGCCCATTAGGTATTAGGTATTTACTCATGTACATTATATTCCCTTATATATAGGACTCAAGTGAATGAATAAGATGATGGTTTTTGACGGCGTATTTCTTATTCTCTTCTTCTTCTACTGTTTCTATTTTTGTCTATTTTACACATAGATTTTACATATTGTCAATCTATATTACAACACGTTATCAGCACGAGCACTCTAACCAACTGAGCGAACGACGATGGCATCAAGATAACCAGACAATCAAGGTAACAATCAAGAATTGATTTATGCCCTAGAAAAGAATTGTGTCTTTTCTGTCAAGGTAATATTCAAGATCTATTCAACGTCAATAATTATATATTAGTTTTAATAAATTTTAATTATATTTATTGCGTTCTGTTTTTTTCCACGCCCCAATCTCTGATTGCTTTTGATATCTCCTAATTTATATGCTTTCTTTTTATTTATTTAATTAAGAGTTTAAGATAGTGTAAATATGTGCTTTCCTTTGAAGGATCCGGTGACTGGGAGTTTTATGTAGAGTTAATTATAATCTGAATCTCGTGTTGTTGTCTGTATTTTTCATGCTTGTTTAAATGGTTAATCGTGATTATCGAAAACTTATGTTTTTGTTTTTTTTTTTTTTGGGATTTATTTCCCAATTACAAATGTTATTATATGGATTGATTAGTGCCTTCAATTGTTATTACTTGCCGCACTGCTCAGTAAAGTAATTGTTGGATAATTCATATTGCAAATTACTTTGTTGGCAATTACGTGTTTCTTGTATGTACTGCCATGATGGTTTCAACATAATGAATTGAGTCAAATAATTTTATTTGTTGATTTTGTCCAAAATTGCCGTAAATGTCCCACGATTTATTATCCGAATTATTTACGAGTGGCCAACAATTGGTTTTGCAATTATTTGCAAGTATGTCCATTGTGTATGAGAGGAATATTATATACAAGATATGGTGGAAATATTGGATATATATAATTGATGCTACATAGCTCAGTTTATGATCATCTTTATAATAAGGTTGGATAAGAAGATAGAATTGTGCAATTATGAAAATAATGGAATATTATATAAAAAATACAGTGATTTTTTTTTTTAACCATTTAGATTTGTATAACACAAATTTTAGCCACACTTTTAAAAAAACCTCTTTTTTAGCCATTTTGGCACTTAAAATGTCAAAAAT